AACTGATGCATGGGTGAAGATGAGGTCCCTGCTTTAGGGAGGATTAGAGGCAAGGTTTAGGTAACTGTTGATGGCAACTCTCAGGCAATGTTTTGGTTCTGCTATTGGAGGCTAAAAATGTTGTTATGACAGCACAAAATTCAGACTGCAAAAAAAATTTATCTGTAATGTAAAAAAAAAAAAAAACTGGGTCAATCAATGAAAAATGCATTAATAGAAAAATGTAAACAGTCCTTGGTGATCATTTTGAACTGACACCAAACAGCGTGGATCCAGAAATGTGCGAAAGCAATAGATTTTGCTTAATGATTCCATTACTTGTGCTTTTAGCAGTCAGCCATGATTTTTTTTTTTATTAGGCCACTGATAAGTGCATTTCATTGTGTAAAACTTAAATGAGGAAAAATGACTGACTTTAGGAGTGTACCTTGCATAGCATACCCACAAAAATATCAGAAAGCAATACAAATGGAGGTTATCACAGTTATGAATTACAACTTGTCTACAGACTTTCAAGCATGCAATTGTGTCTTTTATGCTTTTATGCTATTTACAGTTTGTATTAAGGTATCCAAAAAGTCCATTTGTAATCATGAAAAGATTGTTTACACTTATGAAAACACTGGAAAAGTTTTCCCACATGGAAAAGTTAGAGTGCATAAAAGAATGCAGATTTGTGTAATATAATAAAAACGCAAATGGTTATGATCTTTTTAAAGGCACCAGTTTTCATGTATTTTCATTGATTACAGACTCAATGAAAGCAATTGTTTTGGTCAAGAGAAATGTTTTGTACTGTGTTCTTTGACAAATAAAGAACAGATAAAACAAATCTAAAACAGCTGCTGAGGAAAAAAGCATAATTAAACACAGGTCAAAACAAACAGTGAAGACGAGCGAATTACACAAGCACAAAATTCATAAATCATTTTCAAAGGAGTTTACTTGTCCATCTAATCCCTCAAAGTATTTTGAAAGTAAACCGATTTGGCAACCTGCCTGTAATAGGGACATGTTTGTCATTTTACCGACTTAATTAACTTGACTTGCATGAGTACAGGTATGAAAACCAATCAAAATGGTGCTATTCAAGGTCAAATTCATTTAAGATAAAAGGATGAGTATATTATGACATGCCATATACTGTATTTCAATCATATAGTACAGCGCATTGATGCTTGAAAGTAAATACAAAAAATGTGTTGAAACTTGAAAGACAAATTCAATGCAGGCCATGAGCCTTTGGGTGACATTTTGAGAGATGTCCATCTTCAAGCAGAAACAGACAAATGTCCAGACGGTGACGGCAGTATTTATGTGTTCTATTGGTTGTGGCCTTTCCTGAGAACATGTATTGGAGTGGGATGGTGGATTGGATCTTCCTGTTTCTACTCAAAAAGTCTTGGTTGAACCTTAAGAGGAAACGAATGAGACTGGGCAACTCAGACTTCCTATCCTTCCTTAGGAACTGTTGAAGCATGTGACTAGGCGTTATTATCAAAATAAGTGATGGCCTTTGGACATAGTGGAAGGTAAATTTTTTTTGTGTGTGTGTTCGACACATGTTTTCATGCAACACTTTTCAAGAAAACATTTGAGGATCTCAGTAGTGGGTGTGTTTAGAAGTAATGAATTTAAATTGATTGGATTTTGAATTTTTGATTTTTAAATTGAATTTACATCTGACCAAGCTTACTGTATACACTTCCCTATTTTTGTCACTGTAATGTCGTGTTAGTCATCTGAATTATGGGACAATGGGTTCCATGGAAAAATCCAGATTCTAAAATGGAAATATAATCATTTTTATTTACCAATTTTATGAAACTCATAAAGACTCTTAAATGAAGTCATGATCAACTTGTTAAAAGCAACGGCAACAGTTAGACATAATCCTTAAAAATCACTCCTTATTATACATTCCTTCCACACAAACACTCTACATGAAGTTAGAAATTAGAGTTGAATAGTTGAGAAATATCTTTTGCTTTTGAATTTTTATCAAGTCCCATGAAGATACTGCTCTTAAAGCTCATGGAAACAAAATGGATTCAACCCTGCATTGTTTCAAGCAGAACTTGATAATCCTAGTCAAATGCTAATCATGAAAATAACAGGTAAGAAGAACTAAAAAATAACTCGGCATCAATATTTATAAATCTATATATTAATTTATCTATATATTTAATAGAAATAACATGGACATCTAGTCTCCATGTCACATAAAATAGTTCATTACAATGAATTTTTTAAAGTTGCAATTTGTACTGATGTTTTGTTTGCAAACTCGACATTGAAGGACTGTTGCTATGGTCACACATTGACTTTGCTTTAAATAAAAATCGATATTTCTTATTTTTTATGGAATATTATTTTATGAAATATTTTTTACAAATGATTTATCTGTGCACATTATTATTATTTAATTCATGTGGCCTTGTAATCTTTAATCAAAATAACTTCCCCTCCCTCTTGCAACGATTTCTTTTCTAGCTCTGATGACGTGTTACTGGCACGAGGATGGGAGAACCTGTCACTCACATGAGATACCGGCAATAGCAAACCACAATGATCCAACAATCCAATCAATTCCTGATGGACAAAATTAAGTTTAATCCCAACATTTTTTTATTTTTCGAAAATACTTTTGACGTGGATATTACAATATAGAAGAAAAGACTATCGCAACTTCTGTTTCTTGCCAACTTTAATTATTGTGAAAAGAGAGCAAAAGTCATTTAACAACCAGCATTTTCCTGTCCAGTGCATAGGAGTCCTGCACTGAAGGCCTAAGCAAAATAAATAAATAAATGATATATAGCCTATATACGGTAGCCTATATATACATCTGACATAATTATATATTATATATACATATATAATTTTAGCCTACTTATTAACAATTATTACTACAATGGACTAAAAAGATTTCTCTAAAAATCTCTCTGTAATCTCTAAAAAGAGAGAGAGAGAGAGCGAGAGAGAGAGAGAGAGAGAGAGAGAGAGAAAGAGAGAGAGAGAGAGAGAGAGAGAGAGAGAGAGAGAGAGAGAGAGAGAGAGAGAGAGAGAGAGAGAGAGAGAGAGAGAGATGTAATACTGCTGTTATTAAAAACCTCCAGAATTAGCCAGTATTTGTAGTGACACCTGGTGTTGCTATCATACATACCGCCATGATACCAAAGTTGCATCCACAAATTGTCATTTTTTTATCACTCCTAAAATAAATGCCTTTCAGGTGTATCACAGATATTTAGTTATGTTAGGAAATTCCATTGACAAGAGAGGTGGCCAAGAAAAAAACACCAACTTCAGAGTCTCTTTCCATAATGCGGCAAATTCAAATGTATGAGTTTTGTTATTTGAGTTATTAAAAAAATAAGACTTTTACCTCATTTGAGGTTGACTAAACTGTATCAAATAGCTTACGATTCCCTACATTAGATTGTATTGAATCAATCAAAACATGTTCTTAAGTTTACAGTATGGCAAATTAAAGTCATATTCAGACCTAAAGAAGTCATTAAAAACTTAAAGTGAGCATCTGAATGACATCATCTGAAAGAGGGTGAAGAAAAAGAATGAAACTTTACCAATCTCTATAAAAAGACAACATGGTGTTAAAATGTAATTGCTTTGTGAGCTAATGTATGAAGCTAACCTCAAGACATTTGATGAGCATCAAAGAAAGAGGGGGAAAACGGTAATGGAAAGTCTTTGCCATTTACCACAATTGAGGTTGACAGAATTGTATGGCAAACAATAAAGCATGAAAAAAAAAAAAACCCACCAGCAGTTCATTTTTATGGGTCTGTGTAGATTGAATTCGTTGTGGAAAAATACACATGCAGTTATAAATCCTAAACTACTATTTGGGGGGAGACCACACATGGAGACAAGACATTTCTGCACTCATTTATACTAAATAAACCCTTATACAACCCTTAATTTCATATTCCTATATAAAGCCTCGCCATTAGGCCTAATAATGTGTGACAGTTTTCCACTTTTAAGATAATAAATATATAGATTAGCTTTGCTCAGTTTAGTTAAATCAAGAAAATTTTAGGTGTGGGGGGGGGGGGGGGGGGGGTTTCAAGCAGTTGGCTAAAATTATTTGCTTCTGGACCAGCAGGCAGTGCATAATGTTTCACATTCATTCTCACGCAAGCAACACTTTCAAACATTCGAAACATGCTAAATGGAGATGAATTAACACTGTTCCAAACGCGCTTGCACGACCATGAAATTACTACAATGGTTATACATTCCGTGTATATTGAGCAATTGCACTGTAGGACTATTGCTATAGCCTAGCGTGACCACTGCACACATATGCTTCAGAAAGTCCTGCTGAAATGAAAATAAACACATCATTCATGACTTGTTTTGCGATAAGAGCAAGAGGCAGAATTGAGGGGGGGCTTTTCTCGTTCAGTTTGTACAGAGGTCAACGGGCGACAAGCCTAAATGAAATCAAACACTTTTTTTTTTTTTTTTTTTTTTTTTTACTTTGATAAAAATCGAATGAAAACCCGGAAGACTCAAGAATTTCCTATGATTTATTTATTTTTAAGAAAAGCCATTTGCTTTTTGTTTCGGAACGAATGTTGCTAAATAAAGACTACACCCTGACAGGACTACAACTACCAGGATGTGACCTGTTAACAACTTACATTAACAAAAAATTCACATTTGAAATTCACATTTAAGGTAACCTGTCTAATTTATCTTTTAGAAAAAAACGTCAAAGCGTCGTCACCCGCGTGTAGAAATCTGGGGGTTTATTTGGGGTTAGCCTACAAATTGACGTCATGACTGAGCGTCTGTATTGGTTGGCTGGGTAGAGCGGTTAGAGGTAAAAGGTTAACGCATGGGTTTGGATGATCAAGCGGGCTGAAAAACAGTGAAGCGCACTAGCTTTTGTCCACCTGTTCCATAGATAATTGATTTGCAGATAAATAATCTAATTGCACATCTAACGCGTATGTAAGGGTAACGAACTTTGTTATTCAGCGCACTTAAATCGAGTGTATCTGGTGACAGTTCACCCTCAGATAAGTTAGACGGCTAAGCTAACACAAAGTTTTCGCGGTTGTGCAGTTTGACCTCTGATCACGCATCTAAAACAAACAGATTACATTGTCGTGTTGCATCTCATTTAAGTGTAATGGCTGAGAGACCAGAGGACCTCAATCTTCCCAATGCTGTCATCACGCGGATTATAAAGGAGGCAGTAAGTCATCTTGTAAAATTATTTCGTAGGTCTCTTTATATAGTCGAAAAGTAGTTTAAGTGATAACCATAGTAACGTTGAATCGTCTCTTTCCGCGCGAATCGTCACTGAAGTCAATTGTATGTTAGTATGCAGTCAACTTGTTTTCCGTCTTGTTTAGTTGCCAGACGGAGTAAACGTGTCCAAGGAGGCAAGAAGAGCGATTTCTCAAGCAGCTAGTGTTTTCGTTCTCTACGCAACATCTTGGTTAGTCTAAAGTTTTGTTTTGTTTGAGAAATTCCACCCTGACATCCTACTCGTATGTAATCTCCACTGCTTTGTTGACACCAGTGCAAACAATTTTGCTATGAAAGCAAAAAGGAAGACACTAAACGCTGGAGATGTGATGTCAGCTATGGAGGAGATGGAGTTTGAGCGTTTCTTGCAACCCTTGCGGGAAGCACTTGAAGGTAAATTCTCTATGGACCAGAAGGGTTCAGGTCTAGGGATGCATGACTTCATAAAAGCATCAGCTTCATTCATGTATATAACCAGTTTTTGTGTCGATGTGCTTTTTTTTTTTTTTTTTACAGCATACAAGAAAGGTCAGAAAGGCAAGAAGGAGGCATCTGAGCAAAAACGAAAGGACAAGGAGAAGAAGAATGACACAGATGAAAATGACAAGAGTAGAGATGAAGAGGAAGATGAGCACATGGATGATGAGCAGGAGGGAGAGAACGAAGAAGAGGATGTTGAGAACTGAAAAGCAGGATTGTTTTATTTAGTCAGTCCGTCCTGGTTTCTATCAACCATTGCAAATGATGGTAGTTTCCACTTTAGTAGTGGGACAGGTGATGTGGTCTGGACAAACCTATGGTACATAATATGCTTCTCTTTGTGATTTGAACAACTGTGGCAACATTCCTGCAGAGAGCTCCTTTGAACCCAGCAAGCTATCTTTCAAGAGAAACTGCACATTATTTGAATTCAGTTTAATTAGTTACAACAGTAGTGTTCATAGTATTTTAATCAAATAAACACTGTTACTGGAGGCAAGAAATGGAAAAATGTGTTGGATGTTAATGATTTGGGATAAGAATTAAAAAGGGAGCAGCTGCAAGTACCTATGAAAAACTTTGTAATTTTAAGACCAGCATTTGTTTAAGAGCAGCAACATGTAACCAAGCTTATATACTTTTGTACACGAGTCTACAACTCTGGGATATTTGACAACATGTAGCTATTTTTCCAAATAAATTGTGCTTTTAATAGCTTATTTTTTTCCCTCAATGTATATATGCCTTTTATCCTGCCAAATATTCATATCTAAAAAGCAGTTTTAGGTGTGTGAAACTGGTTTGCCTTTTCCAAAAATAGGTCAGGGACTAAATTGTATACCTACAAATGATGAATTTGAACTAACTTTCATTTTGTGACTAAGATTCTGATTGTGTTTTTCAAAAAAGTTACTGAAGGGTGATAAATTCAGTTGATTTAAGTTTTAAATTAGTCAGCCTGTGGCTCTTCTGGAAGTTTAAGGCCTCAGAAGAGATGGACAACTCTTCATGAACATGTCGAGACAAATTCTACAAATAATTGACCCTTTTCACATTTCCAGGTTTCTCAGAAGCATAATCATATTTGGGTAAAAAAATGAGAGAATACATTAAATATATTTTGTTTTCCCATTTGCTCAAATAGCAAAAGAAAAACTTCACAATATTGTTTTCACAATATAAAAGCGGAAAAAAACAGGAAGGTTGATAATGAGCTTTTCCATCACTCCCACTGCATTAGAAACACCCACACAGCAGCATTAACTTTGTCATTTGATGCAAATGTAATACAAAGTGTAGTTTTATAAGTGTACATTTAAATAACTTTCCAATGGATTTACAATGCTAATAGCCGTTAAAATGCATACAATCTGGGAAAAGGGTCCATCAAATGCCAGAGATGACAAATCACAACACTTGGACTTTTATCAAACAGTTTTATTTGTCTTCCATCCTCTTTTTACTCCTGCAAGAAAAACGAAAAACATCCAGTTAAAACAAGTAAAAGGCAAAACATTTAAATGCTTAAGCATAAAATGGCATTCAATACTTACAGTTGGGCACTCAACTTTGCCACTGTTGATGTCATCAATGACATCATGGGGAGGGCGACCATCAATGGTGCAGCCCACAGACTGAGCTGTGCCAAGAATCTCCTTGATGGTACCTAAGCAAAGGAAAAGATCACTTTGTGCCATCATTTAAATCAACAACTCATTCATGCCTAGTTATAACATGTTCCAGGCCATTTGGCACAGGGTTAGCCATAGAGTTGAGCAGCCCTGCTTCCTAGAGCTGGGTCACTATGAGCCTCCACTGGACAGTACAGAGCCACTTTTACAGACTTGCACAGTGGCGGGAGGCTAATTGATCAATATTGCTTAAGCACTGTTACAATTTGGATAAATACAAACCAGAAAGTTCCCTGGCAATAGATCGTGGCCTCATGACACGGGCAACGCTGACGATCTCATCGAAAGTGACGCTTCCAGAGTGCTTAACTAAAAGAGGGAAAAAAAAAGATACAAACATCAGGAGATGTAGAATATGCTAGTCACAAACTAATACCAATCTACACTACCATTCAAAAGTTCGGGGTCGGTAAAACTTGGTTTCACAGACAGGACTTGGGTTAAGCCAGGATTAGGCCTTAGTTCAAATAGGACATTTAAAGGGACACTTTTTTATTTTTATTTAACCTTTGTTTAACCAGGTAAAATCAGTTGAGAACAAGTTCTCATTTACAACTGCGACCTGGCCAAGACAAAGCGAAACAGTGCGACGATAACAACAACACAGAGAAACACATAGAAATAAATAAGCATACAATCAATAAACCAATCCATGTACAAGAGCAGAATATATTATAAACAAGTGCAATGATCAATAAACAGCTTTGACAGCTGATGCTTAAAATTGGTAAGGGAAATAGGAACCTCTAGTTTCAAGGATTTTTGCAATTCATTCCAGTCATAAGCAGCAGAGAACTGGAAGGAATGGCGACCAAAAGAAGTATAAGCTTTGGGGACAGCCAGTAAAATATACCTGCTAGAGCGCATACTACGTGTGGATGTCGCTATGGTTACCAGGGAGCTGAGATAGGGCGGAGATATGCCTAATAAGGACTTATAGATGACTTGGAGCCAATGAATTTGGCGGCGAGTATATAGTGAGGGCCAGCCAATAAGAGAATAAAGATTACAGTGATGAGCAGTGTATGGAGCTTTAGTAACAAAACGGATAGCACTATGATAAATTACATCCAGTTTACTAAGTAGAGTTTTGGAGGCAGTTTTGTAAATAACATCGCCAAAATCAAAGATTGGTAGGATGGTAAGTTTTACAAGGGCATATTTGGCAGCATAGGTGAAGGATGCTTTGTGACGAAAAAGAAAGCCGATTCTAGATTTAATTTTAGATTGGAGATAGTTAATGTGAGTCTGAAAATTAAGTTTACAGTCTAACCACACTCCTAGATATTTGTAAGAGTCCACATATTCTAAATCAACCCCTTCAAGGGTAGTGATGGTAGTTTGGTTAGCAGCTATGGGCAATGTTCGATTAAAAAGCATGCATTTAGTCTTACTAGGATTTAAAAGCAGATGGAGATCACGAAAAGCGTATTGTATGGCGTTGAAACTAGTTTGAAGATTAATTAACACACAATCCAAAGAGGGGCCGGATGTATATAAAATGGTGTCGTCTGCATACAAATGTATCAGCGAATCACCAGCAGCACTAGCAATATCATTAATGTATATAGAAAATAGGGTCGGCCCAAGAATTGATCCCTGGGGCACCCCCATAGAGACTGCAAGAGGACTGGACAGCAGACCCTCCGATTTTACACACTGAACTCTATCTAAGAAATAGTTGGAGAACCAAGCAAGGCAGTCACTTGAAAAACCAAGGCTGTTGAGTCTGCCAATAAGAATACGATGGTTGACAGAGTCAAACGCCTTGGCAAGATCTATGAAGATGGCAGCACAGTAATGTCTCCTATCAATAGAGGTTATGATATCGTTAAGAACCTTAAGCGTAGCTGAAGTGCATCCATGACCAACTCGAAAACCAGATTGCATAGCAGAGAAAATACGATGGGATTCAAAATATTCAGTGATCTGTTTATTAACTTGGAATTCGAAGATTTTAGCAAGACATGGCAGGATAGATATAGGTCTATAACAATTTGGATCTAGAGTGTCTCCCCCTTTGAAGAGGGGGATGATCGCAGCAGCTTTCCAGTCTCTAGGGATCTCACACGATACAAAAGAAAGGTTGAATAGGCTGGTAATCGGAGTTGCAATAATTTTAGCTGATAGTTTTAAAAAGAAAGGGTCCAGATTGTCAAGACCAGCAGATTTGTAAGGATCCAGATTTAACAGCTCTTTCAAAACATCAGCTGTCCGGATTTGTGTAAAGGAAAAATTAGGAAGGCTTGAACAAGTTGCTGCGGGAGGTACAAAGCTCTCCGAAATAGGAGTAGCCAAATGAAAAGCATGACCAGCCACAGCAAAATGCGTATTAAAATTTTGGATTATCATGAATTTATCTGTGGTAACAGTATTTCCAAGCTTTAATGCAGTGGGCAACTGGGAGGAGATACTCTTATTCTCCATAAGCTTTATAGTGTCCCAGAACTTTTTGGAATTTGTACCACAGGATGAAAGTTTCTGTTTAAAAAAAAACTAGCCTTTGCTTTTCTAACAGATTGTGTATATTTGTTCCTTGTTTCCCTAAAAAGTTGCATATCGCGGGGACTTTTTGATGCTAATGCAGTGCGCCACAAGATATTTTTATGTTGGTTAAGAGCAGCTAAATCTGGGGTGAACCAAGGGCTAAATCTATTCTTAACTCTCAGTTTTTTAAAAGGAGCATGCTTATTTAATATGGTGAGAAAAGTACTTTTAAAGAAAAACCAGGCATCATCTACTGACGGAATAAGGTCAATATCCTTCCAGGACACCCGAGACAATTCGAATAAAAAAGCCTGTTCACAGAAATATTTTAAGGAACGTTTGACAATAAAAAGGGGTGATCGATTGACCGCAAACCCATTTCGAACACAAGCAATTAAGCAATGATCGCTCAGATCCTGGTCGAAAACAGATGAGGAATAATTGTGGGGCAAGTTAGTCAGAATTATATCAATGATAGTACCCGCATTTACGGATTTAGGGTTGTACCTGGTAGGTTCATTAATGATTTGTGTAAGATTGAGAGCATCTATCCTAGATTGAAAAGCAGCCGGTGCATTAAGCATATCCCAGTTTAAATCCCCTAACAACACAAACTCTGAAGAAAGATGAGGGGCAATCAATTCACATATAGCATCCAGAGCATGGCTGGGAGCTGAGGGAGGTCTGTAACAGGCAGCGATAGTGAGCGACTTATTTCTTGAAAGATGGATTTTTAAGAGTAGAAGCTCAAACTGTTTGGGCACAGACCTGGACAGTATGACAGAACTCTGTAAATTATCTCTGCAATAGATTACAACTCCGCCTCCCTTGGTAGCTCTATCTTGGCGAAAAATGTTGTAGTTAGAAATAGAAATTTCGGAATTTTTAATGGCTTTCCTGAGCCACGATTCAGACACTGCTAGGACATCAGGGTTAGTTGAATGTACTAAAGCAGTTAATAAATCAAACTTAGGAAGAAGGCTTCTGATGTTGACATGCAAGAAACCAAGGTTTTTCCGGTTACAAAAGTCAACAAATGAAAGCGCCTGGGAAATAGGTGAAATACTGGGGACTATAGGACCTGGGTTTAACTCTACATCACCAGAGGAACAAAGAAGAAGTAAAATAAGTGTCCGACTAAGCACTTTCAGAACTGGTCTTCTAGTACACTGGGTAAAAAGAATAATAGGAACAGATTTCCGAACGTGGTAGGGTAAATTGAAGGCATAATATATCGCCAAGGGTTTATTAAAATTTGAGTTCAATGGAGGAAGACCCAGGCGTTGAGTAATAAAGAGAGAAATTGCATCTCTAAAAACACCAGTTAAACCCGGCAAAGTTTCTGCATGTGTGGGGGGTGAAACAAAGGAGCTATCAGAGA